TACTAGATGTAATTAATATTTTTAAAGCTTTATCTTCCAGTGTTGTTGATAATGAAAGCCAAATAGTTGTGTCAATGATTAATTCAATAATTAATTTTCTGGTTCTCCCATGTCTTGTCAAGGAAAGACTGACTTCAAGACCTCCCACATTTTCTCAGATTTGGGCTGTATCACTACGATCTCTGCCTCACATTGGCTGCTGTTAAGCTGCCAAAAGTCTCTCCCTGATTTTCTCTTATGAGCACACACATGATTGCCTTCAAGGCTCATGTAACATGTGAAAATTTTCTCATCTCAGGATCTTTCAGTTAATCACATCTGCATATAAGGTAAATAAGGATCCTAGGGACTAGATCATGACTTTGGGAGAAAGCAGTCATCATTTGGTATAGCTAGGGTTTTCTTTTCTGCAAAGAGAAAATAAAATATGTGTTATACAGAGTTGAACTAAAACAGTAGAAACCTATATTTCTTTACATTTTCCTGGTGTTAGAGTCATGCTTAGCCACTTTGCTCATACAGCCCAGGACCACCTTCCCAGCCTCCCACAAGACAGTCTCATTGGGTGATTCTTCAACTGAGACTCTTGGTATAAAATGAAATTTCTCTGTCCCAAACCACTTAATCCTTAAAGTTTAAATCTTTTCCCTTCAGGATTCAGTGTTTCCCATAAGGTAACTCAAGCCCAGCAAGCGATGTGGGTGCAGAAGAAGGCAGCTGTGATCCTGCACTGCATCTATGACATCAGTGCTGGAAGTCAAGGTCTGCTGTGGTACAAGCAGTCAACATAGGGAGATGGTTTTCCTTAACTGTCGGGAATTTTCAGCCACCAAAACACAACCAAGGAATAGCTATTCATTGAGTTTTCAGAAGGCAAGCAATTCCATCAGTCTAGGTATCTTAGCTTCACAACTAGAGGACTTGACAGTGTATTTCTATGTATTAAGAGAAGACAATGAGAATACAGCCTGAGGAATGTATGCAGAGACTCTTGGGGTCTGTCTGAGCCAATCACCTGCTGTGGGACCAAGGCAGGGAGTCAGCATCCAGACAGGAGGTGACCAAGGCTGAGACAGAACAGATGTCCCATTGGAAGGAGACTCACTCTGAGAAAACAGCTGTCAGGTTTATAGACGTTAATGAGAATTACTATTAATCAAAACCACCCATATCCCTGAATCTTCGATTTAGAGCTACACACAGAATTTGATGGACGACTGAAGAGGAAGAACAGCCTCCACAAGCAATGTGCCATTTGCAAACAACGTTCACTAGAGCAGTTGGCTGAGGACGTTCAGGATCAGGAGTGAAAAATCAATGAAATCTTCAGGAAATGTGTTTTTCAGCTCAGTTTGTCCAATAAATATTTATTGAATAAATATTGTTAAGCAATTGTTTTAAATAACCATGACTTTAACTATCTCTGTATATATATATTGAAACATCTTGTTTGTGTGTGTGTTTATGCATTCATGTATATGGGTGTGCATATGTGTACATGTATGTGAAGGTCATAGGTCACTAACTGGCTCTTAGGAGGAACTTTGTAAAGGGCCAGTATACAGAAGTCTTATGAATATTCTTAAGAGGCTGTAAAGCCAAATTCTCTTCTGGGAGGCCTGTGCATGCTCCTTCTCAGCCCCCAGGCCCCACATTGTCCCTATGACCAAAAAAAACCCCAATACAATGCATTCTATTGCAGTTTATGTACAGAGTTTATGATGTGCAGAAGAGAGTCACTTGCAAAGGCATGCACCAGTAGGTTTTTTTCCTCTACATCTTGGCTGAGCCTATTCAGATCCGTGCTTCCCTGAGAACCGGCCAAGATGGCGACTTCCCGCTGCCTCCCCAGCTTCCTCGGCATTGGTCCTTATGTCCTTAGACCAGCCCTCTCATGCAATTGAAGCTGACCGATTGGATGTGAAGGGTGACTGCATCTACCTCTGTTTACGGAGTCTCTTAGGGTTGCTGGTTCTTTTGGAGGACATACCTATACAACAGAGGGACATGGTGAAGGACTGGAATAGGATTTCTTTGTTCTCTACTCATGTCCTTACACTTCTACAATAGCTTTGAATGCTGACATGTGGCATTCAAATGAATGCACACTCCAAGGTCTGCTGTGCTCAATCAATGCTTCATAGTCCAAAAGTCTTCATTCCATCCAATTTCCTGCTTCCATTTCTGATCCCAGGTTCTCATGCCCCAGTAGTGACTGCCAGATGAGTGAGTCTATGCGTAGCTTGTGTTATCTTTGCATTTAGAAAGCAGAGGTTTGGGAAAAAATCTTAAAGGGAAACCTTACTCACACTTTATTAAATATATTTTATTCATTCTTATATTTTAATTTCTTTATTTTATTTTTCATGTGTATGAGTGTTATGCCTGCATGTGTTTAAGTGCACCCATGTCATGCAGTGCCGGTGAAGGACAGAAGAGGACATTGGATCCCATGAAACTGAAAGTAAGGACCATTGTTAGGCAGCATGTGGGTGCTAGAATTTCAACCTGGAACAGTAAGAGCAGTTCATGCTCTTGGCCACTGAGCCAGCGCTCTAGTCCCATTATTAAAAAATATTTTAACTTGTAGAAACAGACACATATTATAAACCTTACCACAACCTCCTTTATATTGGTGTGTACAGTTCAGTTTATGTGTTTTACATTCTTCACATGTGTCAAAAAAGATAGTATGTACCATATTTTCCAATTTTTTCTGTAGCACAGTTCTTTATCAGGGTCTGACGATGTGATTTAGAAAGTTGACAGGGGAAAGGGATAGGTGAACCCAAACAGCATCTCAACTGGAACATCTTAAATCTGTATCAGGCTAAGGAACGAGTCAGAGACTAACTCTGGACTCATGAGCTCCTTTGTCACATTCTGTGGAGACTGAGCTCCAGAAAACAGACTGAGCTAATCCTCCATAGAGGTTACAGCTAGATCTGCACTGGTGTATGGCATTGGCACTTGACTCATTTGCATAACTCATCATCTTGTCTTGAAGTCCATGATATCGTGGGAGATCTTGATTAACAATTTCAGATTGTTCTATAGGCGTCAAACTTAAGTTATATTGTTTCACTATTCTGGGTTACACAATTATTACTTTTCATTATTCAGAAATTCAGAAATATTTAATCATCGATTTTATTATGTGATGTGTCCCTTGAAAAAGAGTTTATTTTAAAAAGGCATTCATTCAATTTGGTCTTCTTTTAGAGCAGAGAAAAGATGACCTATCAAGTAGTAATGTCCTAGGTACTTTTGTTGCTGTGATAAAAACACTGATCAAAACCAACTTGGAGAGGAAAGGGTTTACATTCTTACAGATCACAGTTTATCACTGAAGAAAAGACAGAGCAGTAAATCAGGACATGAACCTTGAGTCAGGAGCTGAAGCACAGATCATGGAGGAATGCTGCTTACTGTCATGGTCCCCTGGCCTGGACACAGCCTGTTTTCTTATGCAATCTATGACCGCCTGCTCAGGGTAGGTCAGTCAGTCTGACAGAGGTAATTCTGCAATTGAAGTTCTCTCTTCATCAGTATGTCAAGTTCACAACTGAAGCTATCCAGCACAAGAAGTAATTGCAATACAAATGACCTAGTCATTATTTTCATTCTTTTAACAAATATAACATAGACACCCAATAGATGTCAGTCACTGCTGCCATGTTGGGTAAGTGTTACAAAGCAGAGTCACTCAAGAAGGACATGACTCCTTATTGCTACTTATGATTTCCACCCCAAACACTATGACATTTCAGTGGATCATGGACCGACTCTTAAACACACAAGAATGCAAAGACATAAATTAAAATAGTCAAGACAACTGATATCGCCTCAGCCAGAAACACCAGGGATTCTCTCCTTTAGCTATTTCTGACTTTGGAAGGAATCCAGGGAAACCTTCACCCCAGCTTAGCCTCTAGGGGGCACAACTACCTCATTTCCTCTGAATTTATGTTTAGTTTCTCTATGACTCTAATGTTTTCTCATGTGAAGAACCACTCAGACGACACTCCAAAGATGAACTCCTCTCAGGGCTTAGTGACTGTGATTCTCTTAATACTCGGTGAGTGAAATGAACATAAAATTTTCACTGTTTCTTCCACGGTGTCAGAAAAATCTTAAGCCATAAATTTATTTTCGTCTTCTATATGACATAACATATTTCTTTTCCTCCAGGAAGGACCCATGGAGACTCAGTGACTCAGATGGAAGGTCAATTGACTCTCTCTAAAGGGGACTTCTTGACTATAAACTGCACTTACTCAACCTCAACATATCCTACTCTGTTCTGGTATGTCCAGTATCCAGGAGAACCTCTGCAGCTTCTCCTCAGAGTCACAAAGGCCAGTGAGAAGGGAAAGAACAAAGGTTTTGAAGCCACTTATGACAGAGAAGCCTCCTCCTTCCACCTGCACAAAGCCTCAGTCCAAGAGTCAGACTCGGCTGTGTACTACTGTGCTCTGGTTGGCACAGTGGCAGAAACCACAGGGAGATATGAACAGAAACTCAGGGCCCATCTGCTGTGCACCTGCCTTTAGAATTCACCTGATTCAGGTCTATGCTGTGTGTCTCTCTTTTTCCCTGGTCAACGCAGAATTATACAAAGCAGAAGAACAAGAAGAGGACATTAACACTAAGCTCTTCATCAGGATTAAAACAAAATCTGATACCAAAACTGCCTCCGCAGAGCCACTATGGTGTTACAGTAAAGCCATATAACAAATAAAGCTTTGTATCTGCTTATCATAGAAGACAAAGTCCGTCTTCTGCATTTTATCCCATATATCCTGGTTGGCATTGCCATATCTTATATTTGTACAGTGAAATGTGCTAGATAAAGTGGTTTCTGAATAATGTCTCCCCAACAGAGTGTGTAGTCAGAGGTGACAGGAGAGCTGCAGCTCCCAAATCTCAAGTTCTCTAATAAAGAAGCAGGACAGCAGCCTCATCTCTAACAAGGCATGGAGAAGAAAGGCATTTAATTATGCAGAGGAAATATTTCTTCTTTGGTAAATTGGGAGGTAGACACAGGCCGACTGTCAAATGAAATAGGAGGAGGAGATGTATAACTGAAGGAACAAGCCCGAGCCAAGTGAAGAGTGTTTCAGGTAGTCACAGAGATCAGCTGGATTTCTAACACCTCTCAGGTGAGGGAGGTGCAGTGCCTGGGTAAGGTTAGGCTTACATTTTCATCCTATGTCTAGGAGCACAAATAAATGCTATTTGCTTATAGTGCTTCAATGGCTTTCCATTCCTTCTAGAATGGAAAGTGCCAGCTATTCTACACAAGTTTCTACATGATTCGCACTTGGCCTGAACTATTCACTTCAGCTCTTGACTGGAAATTTCCCAGCTCTCAGAGCAGCTGCAATGCTCATCTCCTTTCAGGTTTCACAGCTTTTTATTTGTTAGGCTGTGGTGTCTAGTGGGGACACTGATGCCTCATTATAGGGTAACTTAAACACATATAAGTTTTAATAATATATGCTGAAGTTTCTACATTACTAGATTTACATGTTGTGTGTGTGTATGTGTGTGTGTGTGTGTGTACCTGTGTGAAAGTTTCTACAGCACTAAGTTTAAGATATATCTATATCTATATTTTAAACCTAGTGTTTATATGGTTTAATATATCTTAAACCACACACACACACACACACACACACACACACACACATATATATATATATATATGTGGAGTTTTCTACAGCACTAGACTTCCATATAGCCTTATCAAAAGATGCTCAGTGTTAGTTATCTTTCCTGTGTCTCTCCTCTACCCTGCCCTCCCTCCCCCAACCCAGTTTAACTTTCCTGTTCCATTATTCCTCCTGATAACCTTATAACTCTGGCTTCTATCTTCTGTTACTTGAAACCAGTCCCCAACAATCCCCTTACTAATTTCCTGCCTTCTCAGTTTCAGTGAGGTAACCAAGACGCGGAAACACATCGCAGCAAGTTTTCTCTCATTTGTGGATGTTAGTCTATCAGATTTTAAAAGAAGGACACCTATTCTCCTCAAATAATTTCAAGATGTAGAAATAGATGGAACACTTGAAATTTCCTCTTACAAAGGCAATATTACCTCACCATCCACCAAATAGTGATAAGATAGAAAGGAAACTATAGGTCAATATCCATAATGAAAATAGACATAAATGGCCCTAAAAGCATTAACAAAGTGATTACAGGCACACATCAAATATTTCCCCTACCATGATCGAGTTGGCTTTATTCCAGAAATGCATGGATGGTTCAACATATACAAATCAATAAATGTAATAAATCATATAAATAATTTTAAAGACAAAAATTACATGATCATCTCAATATATTCGGTAAAGGGTTTTGACAAAAATCCAACATCCCTTTATGGTAAAAGTCCTAGAGAGAACAAGGCTGGAGAGGACAAACCTCAGCACAGGAAAGGCTATATATGACAGAGCATGCCACAAATCTTCCTGAATAGTGAAAACATTGAAGTAGTTCCATTGAAACTGGGAACAAGACAGGGGTCTCCATTGTCTCCACTCCTGTTTGTTAAAGATCTCGGATTCCTAGCTATAGCAACAATACAGGCGAAGGAAGTAAAAGGGACACAGACAGGAAAAGAATAAGTCAATTTATGCTCATGTGTAGATGGTATGATACCATACATAAGCGATCCCAATGACTCCATGAGAAAACTCTGAGAACAGATTAACACTTCAGCAAATTGGCAGGATATAAAATTAACATGCAAAATTAGCAACCTTTCTATAGATCAATAACAATTTGTGAAAGAAATGAAAAAAATACAATACTATTCACAAGGCCTCAAACAAAACAAAATAATAATAATTAAAACCCTCTGAATAAACCTAGCCAAGCAAGTGAAAGATCTCTACAATAAAAACTTTAAGTCTCCGAAGAAATGAATAAAGAGGGTACTAGGAAATGGAGGGACCTCCCATGTTCAGGGATTGTTAGAATTAATCTAGAAATGGCCACCTATCAAATGCATTTACAGATTCAATGCAACCCCAATCAAAATTCCAATGAATTAAATGGAAGCACTTAAAATTCATACGGAAGTACAGATGACCCAGCATGGCCAAAGCAATCCTTATCAAAAGAATAACGCTGGACTGATAACCGTATCTAATGTCAATATCCTACAGTGGCATAATACTAAACACAGCACGATACTGGCACAGAAATAGACATGTAGATCAAAGGCAGAGCTCAGATTTAGTCCTATGCTATTAAGTTACTTGACCTTCAACAAAGATGCCAAATATGCACGCTGGAGGAAAGACTGAATCTTCAACAAATGGTATTTGGGAAACTGAATGTCCACATGTAGAAGAAATTAAACCCTCTGTAGATGTTCAGACCTGAAAGTAACCACGGACCCGGGGAGTGCTTATTTCAGAGATAGCGGAGGGCTCAGCACCTCCAGGGCCAGAGCCCCCAGTGCCCTTTTGCTTTTTCTTTCATTGACTGTGAAAAACAATTACAGCATGAGAAGCAGAAGCACAGCACGTGATCACTCACAGGACACAAACGTTTCTCCAGCTACTTTTTCCCAGTTACTATCTAGGCACAAAGTCCTGCTGCGGCTGCTATCTTCAAGGACACCCTGTGCTTTGGAATAACAAGCTTACGGTGAAGGTTGTGATGTCGGTCAGTGTGCTGGATGACACCTCCACACAGCTCCTTGTGTGCATGGAACTTCACGGCATTCCTCCAACTTGCTTGTGACCTTCCAAAGCAGCTTGTCCAATTAACTCTATGTTGCCCAATCTCTTCTCATTATACTATTTGTTCCCTTCACCCTCATTGCTCACGCTTCTTAAAAATTGACTCCCAGTGTATCAGAGACCTCAATTAAAACGTCAAACTCTGAAACTCTGAAACTGCTAGAAGCAAACGTAGAGTTTAGCAAACATGCTAAAATATATGATATATAAGCTCAGGTAATTATGTCTGAATAGAATCTCATTTGCTCTGGATTTAGCCAACAAATGGGACCTCATCAAACTAAAAAGCTTCTGTAAAGTAAAAGATAAAGTCAAGTGAAGAGAAAGTCCCAGAACAGAAGAGACTTTATTCCACCTATGAATCTGACAGAGGATTAAAATATAGAATATTTAAGAACTTAAAAAACAGTTTTGAGTGGGGAGAAGGATAGGACGGTAGAGCAGATGCGAGTGCGTTATGAGGATGTTTGAAGGAAGCATATGCCATATGAAAATATACTATTTTATTAGATTCCATATATGTAGAATGTATTGATATATGTTTATACATATGAAGAGTTTAATTGGGGCTACCTTACATGGAGAGATAATGACCCTTCCAGAAGCATCACTTAGCAAACAAAAATCCCAGTGTCATATGTGGAATACCTCCCTTCAATTTGATGGTCAAGGGAGTCACAGAGACAAGACAGGCTAATACCGTTTCTCTTAGTCACCCAACACAACTTGATAGCAAACTTCTGTTGCCCAAGAAAACACAAATCTTGGTCACAGGGCATGGAGAAATCAAGCTGGTACTGATATGGAAGCTGTCTCTTTGGTGGCTACTGCAGGTATGAATTCACACCAAAGGCTATCTGGGTACACAATACACAAAGTTGACTAGGAAAGGCCTTAACATATAGGACAGAATGCATGAAATCCTATGGGTGGGTTATGGGGAGGTACAGATAGTGGTGGGATCTGAATATGATTGAGATGTATTGTATGAAATGCACAACAGTTCAGTAAAAATATACATTAAAAAGTCACAATCAACACATTATTTTGTATAATTAATATACACTAACAAAAAATAGGGGTTGGGGAGATGGCTCAGTAAAATTCTTGTTCTACAAGATGAAGACCTGAGTCCAGATATCCAGGACCCATGTTGAGTCTAGCATTGCCAAACACATCTGTCATCCCAACACTGGTGATGGAAGAGCTCGCTCAATCACTAGATTTTATTGACCAACCAGCTCATGCCAGTAGATGAGTTCCGTGTTCACTGAGAGAACTAATCTCAAGGAAATAAGTTGGGAAGCAAAGAAGACACCTGAAGTTGAACTTTGCCCTTCAGCATCTGTGTACTCACCCTCATGCACATACGCATACACTCACAATCATGTACAAGCACGATACACACATACATATGCACAATATTTGAAATAAACAAATGCATAACATCTGGTCATGCTGGGAGCCGGAGCCCTGTATGTCAAGCCATAGCTTAAGCTACTATATTTTGAGTAGGTCTTTATGAATTATAGAAATTGTCTTTAAAAGTTGGAAATGAATGATAGGTATGTAATTAGACATGGAGAATAGCTGTGAAACTTCAAATATCCTTTGGATTTAAAGAGCTTATCAAGAACTTCGTAATGGAAATATTAAGTGTGATTTTTCAATAGAGCAAAGGGATTGTTTTAAATAACTGTTTTAACTAAGAAAACAAGTCACAATTTGATGAGAAAATACACACTTAAGTATACATAGGCACACATAAACTTGATCAAATGTTAAGTTCTTGACTAAATTATCATATGATGTTGTAATAATTTACATATGAGTGTACAATTTGAGTATTTCTTTGACACAATAGTGAATCCACAGGATGGCAGTGTCTTCTCAGAGACCATGAAGAAAATTAACACCTGGGTACTGAGGGAGGGGCCAGGAAGAGGCTAGGAGAGAGCAGGAAGGGGAGTGGCTTGCTGATGTAGCAGTGATAAAGGGATTTTTTTCTAATTCATTGAACAAAGTTGATTATGCTTCTTAGAGAAGAAACTGTTTAAATATGACTATATTTTCAGGTTTGAAATCTGAATCTTCAGTGAAAAGAATAATGAAGCCCTTGAATGTTTTATTGGTGGTTCTATGGCTTCAGTTGAACAGTGAGTCTGAGCATTTCTATGGGAATATACAACACAATAAATGAAAGTGTTGCCTATTCTAAGCTGGTGGGTAGAATCATTAATGGTTTTTGGTGTAACTAAGCAGGTGGGAGGCCCATGAAAAGATAAATTCTGCAGTGTCAGCATCCATACCAACCATTCCTCTTTGACCTTTGTCTTTCTGCACAGGGGTGAGCAGCCAGCAGAAGGTGGAGCAGCATCCTGAATCCCTCGGGGTTCTGGAGGGAGCCACGGCCTCTCTCAACTGCACTTTCAGTGACAGCAGTTCTCAGTACTTCTTTTGGTACAAACAGCATTCTGGGGAACGCCCTGAGTTTCTGATGTCCATATTCTCCAGTGGTGACAAAGAAGAAGGAAGATTCAGAGCTCATCTCGATAAAGCCAGCCGGCACCTTTCCCTGCACATCAGAGGCTCCCAGCCCAGTGACTCTGCTGTCTACCTCTGTGCAGTGAGCACACAGTGCTCCCCAGGCACCTGCACTCTGGACACAAAATCAGCAGGTCCCAACAAGACCTGAGGAAAAAGCACACAGACTACAGTGGAGGAGAAATTCTGCTTGTGTTCTATATACAAAGGGAATTGAGAGCTGTAGGTGTGAGGGTTTGATTCATTGGGAAAGTATTACAGCATTCTGAGAATAACTGATCCTGAAGGGAAGGGGCACGGTGTTGGACTGGCTGGAATAGTCTCCACTTTTTCCTTTCAAATGTAATTTATTGTTTTTTTTCTTGATTGTTTTCGTTCCTTTTCTTATTGATCTTTACTTCCTATTTTTGAGGTTTTTGTACATTTTATATAATACATCTTAATTGAATTTAGACCCCCTCCCCCTCTCCACCCCTTGTAGTCCTCGCCACCAAATTTCAGGTATTCTGTCTTATATGTTAAGTCCTATATAGTCCAGTATTGCATCCAGTTGTCCCTTGGTGTAAGTTCATCCACTGACGTCTAGTCAGCCTGTCCAGAATCACTCCCTTAAAGAAGATTTACTCTTCCTCACCCCACAGTAATCATTTGCCAATAGTTCCTTGGCTAGGGTTGGGCCCTGCTGCAAATTTTCCCCATCCTATGCTGGGTTTTTGTCTGATTGAGTGATGGGTCTTGTGAATAGTGTTACCATTGTTGCAAATTCATGAGCAAGTTCCCAGAGACCTGAAAGCCTCTGATTCCTTATGTTCATGCACCACCCCTGGCTTTTACAATCTTCCCCTGGTCCCTGAGCCATGGGTGGGTGAGGTTTAGTATACCCCACTGTCTCCAATAGACAGGTAAACTGGAAAAAGAATAAACAGAGAGACATATGAATTAAATAACATATTAGAGCAAATGATCCTTAAAGACATCTACAGAATATTCCCCCAAGTACCTAAGAGTACACTCTACTCAGTTTCTCTAAGATTGACCTCATACTGGGCCACAAAACAAACCTTAACAAATGCAAAATGTGAAATAATTCCTTGAATTCTATTAGACTATAATGCAGTAAAGCTTATAATCAACACCAAAAAAATCCCTACTATATGAATTCATGAAGATTAAACAACACTCCTGAATGATGAATGTGTCAAAGAAGAAATTAAGTAAGAAATAAAAGTACCCTGGAATAAAATGAAAATGAGAGCATAACACACAAAAAAAAACCCCTGTGACACTTTAGAAGCAATCCTAAGAGGGAAGTTCATAGCTCTAAGTGCCTACATTATAAAGTCAGAAAGAGCACATATAAATGAATTAACAGTACAACTCAAAACTCTTAGAAAGCAAGAAAAAACCAAGCCTAAACCTAGGAGATGAGAAGAAATAACAAATATCAGAGCAGATATTATTGAAATAGAAACAAAGACAACAAAGTATCAATGAATCTTAAGAGCTTGTTCTTTGAAAAGTTAAACAAGATAGACCATTAGCCAGTTCACCAAAAAAAAGTAAGAGCAAATCCAAATTAACAAAATCAGAGATGAAAGGGGAAACATAAAAAAAGACACACACACACACACACACACACACACACACACACACACACAAAAGAATCCAGAACACTATAAGGGAATAATTTAAAAACCTATACTCTATTGTATTTAAAAACGTAAAGAAATGGATGGATTTCTAAAGTCATGGAAACCATGAATGTTAAACCAAGTAGAGATCAACAGCTCAAACAGACCCACCACAAATAAGGAAATTGAAACAGCAATATAAAACCTCCCAACTGAAAAAACCCCAAGCCCAGATGGATTCACAACAAAATTCTACCAGCCATTCAAATAAGAGTTTGGGGGCCTTTTTGAGGCAGGATCTCATGATAGCCCCAACTGGCCAGGAAATCCATATGTAGACCAGGCTGGCATAGATTTGACAGAGATCCATCTGTATCTGTCATGGCCCTTGATTGCCTTCCAGAATTTGAAGGTAAGACCCTATTGCTGAGGGAGGACTTGGAGTGATGGAGGCTGAACTGACCTGAAAGCCTCCTCCCTCAAGTTCAGCTTTCCTGGTATCAGAGGATACTATGTAAGCTGTCAAGGGAGAAAATCAATCAGTGGTCCTACCCAGCTGTAAAGACTAATAAACAACAGTGACTGTTGTAAAATATCTTTATTGGTACAGTAGTGACGCTTTTTAAAAAATAAATAATTTGAGAATTTCATATAGGCATATAAGGTGTTTTGATCAAATCCATGCCCACTCCCTCCCCTCTGACTCCTCCCATGTCTCCCCATCACTTTCTTCTGATAACTTCATGTATTCTTTCTTCTTCTTCTTCTGTTTATTTTTATGGGGACTTTTGGCTACTCTAACATTCCCCCCTCTGAAGAGGTAACTCTAAAATCTATTAAGGATTAGATAAAAGCTCCCAAATATTTTTGACATTTTTGGCCTATGGAATAGATTATGTTTCTAAGAAGCCCAAGGACATTGTGAGTTTTAGGCAAGAAACTGGCTACTTTTCTTTGGGGTCTTTGTACCCTAGCCAATTCCTACCTCCTATTCTTATCACACCATCCTTTGAAGGGGTTACCCAAATTACCAATAGGGAATCAGGACGTAGACCGCTCTGCCTTCTTCCATGCTGAACAGGGATGCAGAGTGAGGCAGCTGGAGTACCCCTTCAGTGGGTCTATCTAAAAGACTCCCAAATTTCATAATTCTTATCTCTAGGGGGAAAAGAAAGTCCTTGAATTGTGAATAGGAGATGTGAAGAAGTAAAGGCAAAGAGTAATTAGCATTATAAGTTCTAGACAGGGAACTAGAAAAAAAAGTCAGAGCGGCAATTTTCAAATGTTCCTATGAGAGTCCATTGAAATTTCTTGACAAGGGCTTCCAAAACATCCCTCTATTGGGTTCTTCCTCATTTTTCTTTTGTCTTCCAAGTCTCTAGAGTGATGGATTCAGGATTTGCTCTCAGGAATTTTGGTAGCTATTGGAGTGGTTAGAATCACTGTCAGTGTCCTCTCAAAGGCTTCTAGATAGGGGGAGAAAGTTAATTTATCCATCATTTTAGAACAATAGCTGGTTGTCTCCCTTAGCTACAGGTGGGCACCACAGTATTGGAGACCAAGATTTGAAGTTTTACATCTGAGCATTTTTTTTCTATCTAGAAACAAAATCATCAATGATAAATAATTGTTTAAATAACTTTTCATATAGACTTAAGCCTAATGTCTGGGAAGTGTAATCCCTTGAACTCTTAAAGAAATATACTGATGACTTTACACTTCGGTTATACTTTCCTTTTGGGTGTTTAAGACCATACAGTTGGCGAAAATAAATCAATTTATTTTTATACTTTAGGTCATTTGAGGATCTGTTCCTCAGGGGTCAAGTGACCTCGGTGACACTTTTATCTTGGGGGTAATCCACAGTTGTGTAGTTGGAATTAAGGCCAGCTAAATGGGAGGGAACTTATGTATGGTACTCTAAACATAGCCAAATACACATGGCCAAAGAAATAATAGATTCTAGAGAAAATCCTACTTTTGCCACATTCCTAGACCAACAGAAGTTCTTACTACATTTTAAATATACATCCTCATATTTACAGAGAAGTTTTCCTCTCAACACTCATCAAAGAAGCTTCTTTTTTCTTTTCAATAAATGGGGACTATTACAGAGTTACACAACCGGGCAAATGCAGAGAATGTCTGTGAGATGCTTAGTCCTAAGTGGCACATTTTCAATCCAACCTGTATATAAAAGATGAATGAATTTCTGAACTCTCACCAAAGAAGTTTCCTTATACAGAAAATGGTAACACAGAAACCTGCAACTGCTCAATATGCAGAGAACAAGGTTATCAATGAACAGGACACCTGCTTCAAACTTCTGTATCCCAAGGCTCAGGGACGACTGTGGAAGAGAAAGCAAATTATTGTAAGAGCCAGAGGTTTTGGGTAACCATAAGAAAATAGAGTTTTCCAAACAGCTAGTCAGTTACATATATAAACTCACAGCAATGATGACAGCATTCACATGAGCCATGCAAGCTCAAACCAGATAAAATTCCAGCATAGACATGGGGAACTAGGTAAGAAAGCCCAACCCAACCTAAGAAACTTTTGACAACTAATGGCTGTTGGAAGGAGAGATAGTCTCTCACAGGAATGGCACTCTTGGTAGATTAATCAGGCTCCAGTGGATACACACACACACACACACACACACACACACACACACACACACACACAAATCAGACTCTAAAGGCCTTGAGCCTTAGGAGGCAGAAGTTTGACATAGGGATCCTATTCTAGGATAAACACTCTGCAGCCTCCTGTTCTCTGCACATTGGCTTTTTGTGAGGTTTTTATGTTAAGCACCATCTGTGGTGCAAGGAAACTTCTCTGATGAGAGTTGAGAGACACATTAGTCTATGGGTATGACAGTAAGTCATTAAGAGTCATCAAACTATCACTATTTGTCAGAGAACTAGTACTAGGTTCTCCTCTATTCCCTGAGACCTGTCTTCCCTCAAGTTCCTAAGCTTGATATTTATGTTAGGTATGGGCTCTATCCTAGGAAGCAGATTTTAAATCTAGATAAAGAGTGGTTGGGTACTCCCACAATATTTGTGCCACTGTTACACTGATGGGCATATCTCTCTAGGCCAGCTATTATTGTAGTTCACAGGATTCACTGCTGGGTAAATACAATGATTATTTCTTCCTTATGGGAGCTTGTGCAGCAACTTCCAGGATGGCAAGAATTTTTTTCTGAAAACTCTATGTACATGAGCTGTAGAGCAAACAATGAGAAATCAAGCAAGTATTGACTTCAGAGCCTTATCCCTACTGTTCATAGTGCTGCTGGGGGCTATGTAAGCTACCAGAAGGAAAAAACAATCATTATCCTTATTAAAACTTTATGACTAAGTACATACACTCTTTGAGGACTAAAATTCTCATTGAGATAAAACTTAGAACTATAAGCAGGATGTACTTAAACCTATGAGGGAAAAAATGTCTTAAAGGACATTTCACACACAGATGGTGGAAAGCAGATTTGAGCTCATTGATGGGTGAAAAGAGAGAAAGTCCAGCTCAGAAGGAGCCAGCAGAGGGTGCAGTGAGTGAGGGAACCTATGCAGGGACCTCAGAGAAGAGGTAAGGTGGAGGGTGGGGTCAGTACAGAGACCATGTGCTGTACTTCTCCCGCCTTCCCTGGTGTCTCCATCCTATGTTTCTGTTGAGGATGGACAGGGGGTTAGCCTTTTCTCAGGCATTCAATCCTCCCTAACTCATAATGAGCTTTCTGCGAAGGCCAGAGATAGCAGTGTGAGGAGTTGACAGAGATAAGCCATCTTCACCTGGCCTTATGTTCAGGGAAGAATAGAAGTGACCGCTTGCTCATACTAGTAAGAAACTGCCCATCCTTCTCAAGAAATTCAGCCACTCTGCACTGCCATGCCTTCTGGGGTGGGCTGGGGGTTCTGTGGCACTGACTGTTCTGTGGCATCTCCACAGCACACTCAAGTGTACAGGCTTCAAGGCTGGTACCAGAACTATTCTGATTTCTACTCAATTATACACAGTGTTTACTGAAGAAAGGCGTTGTAGCCCACTTGGATCTCTGCCACTGTCAACTCTTTGTTTTAGTAAGTTCTCATGCACGGGGTCTCATGCTTCCTTTGATCTCTCATGTTTTCTTGTCTCATCTAGGAGTGTGTTTTCACCTGAGGAAAACGATGTGGGAACTCTATAAGGAAAATAATTTACAATTTACTTTTCCGAAGTAGATATTTGATGGTTCCATTGTTCCTCTGAGGTTGTACTCTGCCATCCTACTGTATGTAGAGCATCAATGTTCTTGAAATACAGAATGCTAAAGAGCAAGCTATGTTAATAATTATGAGGTAATATCTGCCTCTGGCAACTGTCTTTGGTATTAAGAGGCGTAATAAAACGAACCCCTCTGAGTGATCTTGTATGAAACTAGAGAGAATATCATTATGTGTGTGATACATAATTGTGCCTTTTCAACACCTCATTTTTAAAAAGTGAGAAGACAGTCATTAGTGGGACACATACCTGGAATCCCAGCACTTGGGAGGCTGAGGTGGGTGAGTTATGAGTTTGAGGCCAGCTTGGGTGACACAACAAGATCCTACCTAAAATTAAGAGTGCTGTAGAAGTGATGCTTGTTTTTATGTCACCACCCCAGGCGGTGAGTCTCATGGTCTTGTGCTTGCCTTCAAACACACCGGGATCTGATCATTACGCATGGTCACATCTTGTACATTCATTCTTTAAAACAATAAATTAGCCAGATGTGGAAGTACACACTTTTAACCCCTCTTATCAATAGCCTGTTTCATTTCGGGAGTCTCTTGACTACACTGACCTACAGCTCTAAGGGAACTTTCTCTTTACAGGCACTGTGTTTTTTTTTTTTTTTTTTTTTGTAATATAGCCTTTGGCTTACATCCACACTTGTATATCTACTGTATGTGTATTTTTCAAACAAGTACCTTTTTGTGTGATGTTTCATACCATCTAAGCTTTATTTATGTCTCTTCTTATTCCCACTGTATAACCCTCACTGGTCCCTCCCAAGTTAAAGTACCCCTTTTCCCTACTTCCCTCTTGATAAATGTCTCCAACTATTCCTGTCTTTCATACTCCTTTTTTTCCATTTACTCCCATGGTTCCTTTCCATTTTCCTGGTTCCTGCAGTTACGTCGGATATATACTCACATGTACAGACTTGGAACTAAGATCCACAAGTGACAGAGAGCATACATCACTTGGTTTTCTGAGTCTGTTAATTCACTTAGTATAACAACTTCTAGCTCCATTCATGTACTTGCAAATTTTATGATTTTGTTTTTCTTTACTGATGAGTAGAACTCTAGTGTAAGTGTACTACATTTTTTATCATCCATTCATCAGCTGAGGATCATTTAGGTTGTTTCCATTCTTAGCTATTGTGAAAACAGCAGCGACAAACATGGCTCTGTAAGTATATATGTAGCAGGATGAGTCCTTTGGGTATATGCCAAAGAGTGGTATAACTGGATCACACGGGTACTTTTTTTTTTTGTCTTTTTGAGACAGGGTCTCCTTGTAGCCCCAGCTGTCCTGGAACTCACTATGTAGACCAGGCTGGCCTCGAACTCACAAAGATCCGCCTGCCTCTGCCTCCAAAATGCTGGGATTAAAGGCATGTGCCACCACACCTGGCAACATGGGTACTTTTAACAGGCATGTTTCCTGTCTTCCTCCTCTTTGTCTTTATTGTTGGGTCCATTGCTTAGATTTTTTTCTGTAATTATTTCATTACCAAGACTAAGAACACTGAAGGGCACCCTGATTTCCTCAGTGTGGTTCAAAGGGTGGAGCTTCTCAATTTTCCAGCCAACATGTGGTACTACAGGGGGGATAGCACTTATTTATATGTGAATAAATAACATAGTTTATATGCTAATAAAAAAACTGTGGGGAAATGACTGAAAAGATTTTTCTGATTATAATGCCAGGGACAAATACCATCCTATCTTGAACTCTAGTGAATAATATTTCCTCTCTTTGTGAGAGGATGTCAGTATGTAGCCCAGGATGCTTCAAATTCACAGACATTCCACAACCTCTCACGTACTAGAATCACTGCCATACATGTGACTTTTACTGATGTTTCCAATAGAGGTTGTACTTTCATTGAAATGCTTTTCATACAAATTGCATATTGAGGATTTTCCCGTATTCTAATCTGCGCTGCAATTGACGTTTGTAGTTTAAAGAAACAGGAGGAAGTATCAGGAACATAGAAGTTAAATCGTGAATGAAATCCCATCATCTCCTCACTGAGTAAAATTTTATGAATTGTGTTCACACTTCAGAGTATGAAATCTGTGCATGTGTACATTTTCCTTGGTGCTAACTGAAATAGCACACATATGACAGATTCTGTGATTCAGGGAGCATGACGGGAAATGTTTCATTAAAAAAAAACATATTTCAGGGCTGGAGACAATGGCTTAGCAGTTAAGAGCATTGACTGTTCTTGCAGAGGACCCGGATTCGATTAGCACTCACATGGTGGCTATGAACTGTCCTTAACTCCAGTTCCAGGGGAATCCGAAGCTCTCTTCTGACCTCCGCATCATTGCACGACATGAGTGCATTCACATCCATGCAGGCAATACACTCGTACACATAAAATAAAAATAATAAATAAAATATTTTTTAAAATAACATATTTCAATTTAAACTGTACTGGATCCCTTGATGGGACAGGTTGGAGAAAAAAATCAGGCCAAAGTTTTGCATTCCAATCACATTGTCAAACTTCTTTTCTCTCTAGAGGAAAGGATGTCTGAGAAAGACCCAAAGCAACATAGCTGGTAATCCTGTGTGTTACTATATTTCCTAATGAATTACAAGTCCTGGATTATCTATCAGAAAGAACGATCTGAAAATCAGTCAGTGTTACTTCTGATGTTTTCTAGTTTTCAATTGGTTATAGTAAGGGACAGCAAGTCCTTAAGACAGGCCAGCATTCACCCACCCACCTCATGGAAGGTGTGACAGGACACAGGCAAACCCATAACTGCTAACTCGTTTCCTGTTAAGGCAGGTGCACTGAACAGCCTAGTAACTTTTCTTGAGCACAAGGTACAGATTAAGATTTGGCCTGAGAAAGAACATAGAGCATTTCTCTCGGGAAGAAAGCTAACACCATGCTGATCACCAGCCTGCTGAGAGCAGCCATTGCCTCCATCTGTCTTGGTAAGGATATTCCCAGCACCGGGAAAACTTTTCCCTGAGGCTTGTTGACAGACAGGTTCTTTTGCTCTGCTGAGGCTCAGAGTGAGGAATACTCAGAGCTCTGGATGATAAATCACCTTATATTTCTGTAGCTCCAGATAAAGAGGTTGTCTCTTTCTGTCCTCTTTCCCGCAGAAGCCAGCATGTCTCAGAAGGTAACTCAGGCTCAGACTGAAATTTGTATCATGGAGAAGAAGAATGTGACATTGGACTGTGTTTATGAAACTCGCGAAACTACTTACTACTTATTCTGGTACAAGCAAACCCCAAGTAGGGAAATGGTTTTCCTTGTTCGCCAGGACTCTTATAATGAGGAAAATGCAACAGAGGGTCGCTATTCTCTGAACTTCCAGAAATCTGCCAGCTACATTGGACTCACCATCACAGCCACATGGGTTCAGGATGCAGCAGTATATTTCTGTGCTCTGAGGGAGAGCACAGTGAGAGGAGTGTCTACGGGAGTCCCACAAAAACCCCAACAAGAGATAGAGACCCTGGGGAGACACTTCACACAGAGAGGAGGAAGCAGGGGCTGTAGTAGTACAGGGGGCACCTAGGAAGAAACCTTAGTTCAGTTCCTGTGGACTGTCTGCATCTTTTAGTTGAAATACGTATGTGTGATTCATATTCTTTCTTCCTTTTTTTAAGATACCTGCTCCCCTGCCTCAGGCTCACTAAGCAAGTATGAGTCAGTTATAAAATGATATTGCTTTCTGGTAGAATCACTGTTATTGGGAATGATGAGTTGTCATTACTTATAATGGCATTACTTATAATGATGGTTATTTTCCTTTAAATAAGTGAGGGTGTTCAGATATGAGGTGGGCCTGGGCTATATGAGAAAATTACCCAGAGGAGCAGCCCAGTAAGTCATGTTCCTTCATGGACTCTGCTTCAGAGTCTGCCTCTAGGTTCCTACCTTGAGTTCCTGAGTTGACTTCCCTTGTGGGACTGTAAATGGAATAAATCATTCCTCCTCAAGTTGAATTTTGTCAGTGTCTTTTCACTGCAGCAGAAAGCAAAGTACGACAGGAGGATTAAATTATTTTATTTTATTTTTTCTTTTTTTTTTCTTTTTTCATTTTTTTCTTTTTTTCATTTTTTTTCTTTTTTTCTTTTTTTCTTTTTTCTTCTTTTTTTCTTTTCTTTTTTTTCTTCTTTTTTTCTTTTTTTTTCTTTTTTTCTTTATTTTAATTTCAACTTATACATAGTACAAAGCCAATTCTCTTCTGGGAGGACCGCCCTGCATGCACTCTCAGGTCCCAGGCCCCACATTGAACTTACTACCAGACCGACAAACCAACACAATGTCCCTCTGAACTACAGTTTAGGGAATAAAGGTATTCATTTGGGCTTGCCAACAAAGCTTCTGATATCCGGGAGTGGGTCACTTACAAAGGCATGGCCACCAATGGTCTTTTTTCCCCACAAGTCCGCTGAGCTTCGTGCATCCTTGGTCACTGGTCCCCCAGCCAAGATGATGAACTTCACGCTGCCTCCTGGGCTTCCTCCCTGTCTGTTTTTAGACAACTGAACTGACCAACTGGCTGAGAGAAGTGACTGTCTCCCTGTCTTTCTATGGAGTCTCTGAGGGTTCAGACACCTAACTGTGGCTAGTTCTTTCAGAGGACACACATATCCAACACATAGCCATATGAACAGCCTTTTGTACCAGTATAGATGTGAAGTGTTGCACAGATTACCTTTCTTTGGGACAAAATTATGATTTTCCTCTGCCCCCCCCAAATATGATTTTTGAAATCTACCTAAATATATTGCTCTCATTTCAAGTTTTCCTACTGATGGAAATATTTCAGGTGGGAATTTCTTCTAACTGTCCAGTCTCTTGCCTTCATTTTCTCCTTTAACATTATAACCAATTTGAAACTGAGAATAGCTCATGACCATCATGAGAGGGATCACAGTAGGGAGGATGAGCTTGGGGACCAGAAACAGAAGGTCCAGAGAATCCTGGAGATTGAAAAGATATAAGTAGATTCTGGTAAATGAGACTTACTTTATTTTCTTTCTCTAGGCAAGCGTACACAGTCTCCTGGGTAGGTAGCTGCCTGGTGAGAACATGTGTTCTGGTCCAAAGGATTTTTATAGGAAATTACACATTTTGGCATCTTGCAAAAACTAGTTATATAACAGATTACACCACTGTTTACTTTTGGGGTCTCCAGATATTTGGTGTTACCCAGTTTGTGCTGAGTCTAAAGTTAACCATCTTGGCCCATGCAGGAGATCCATATGAGTGTCATGCCTAAGCATAAACAGGCCCTCACGACCTTGATGTTCTACATTCCACCCCATTTAGATCTCATTGGCTTTATTGGAACGGACCCACAGCAGCAACATAGGGAACCTATGACCAAAATAATGTGGTAATATAATATACTTCCTAAGGCTCATTTTAGGCTGGTGGAGATGCTCTACTTTCATTGTTCTTGTGTGTGTGTGTGGGTCCTCTGATTAGCTGTTGCTTGGTAGTCTCAGGGCAGACATTGGAAATTGGGCAGGCACTCTGCATCTCTTCCAGAGAGGCCTAATCCTCCCTGGGTATTACCTGCCTTGGTAATACCCCGTCAAGATTGGTAATTATTGTCTTGGTCTCCTCCCTGCATTTCCAAGTCACCAGTGCAGCAGCACAGCATTATACTCCACTGCTGACCCTTGTGTCAGTGAACACAGGCTCACTTGTCAGACTCATTATTTCTTGAGCTGAACAGTGTTTGTGGCACACCACATGATAAACTGTCACATTTTTTTGTTTTGCTACATGCCAGAAGTCTTCCCACATGGGACTTCACCACAGAAGCCAGTAGCCTACTTCCCAATCCTGCAAGTGCTATATGTAAGCCCCCTGTACATAACCAAATTGTCAGTTCATACATGAAGGAATTTATGACTATCAGCTGTGCAGTCTTGAATGTAGTCTCTTGGCTATGTTGACCAACTCTTCTCTCTCTCCAGATGATGTCAATGAACAGCTGAATTGTCATTGCTATGATTGTGGTCTGTGGCCCCTACTGGAGCCATCAATGTACCAGAAATTAGGGGGTAGAGTAATCTCTTTAAAAAGATTATTGAGCTTTTGGGCATATGGACTTCTTTTGTTGTCTGTGTGTCTGAAATAAAATTCTAATCTGCCTTGCTTGAGTCGAAGCTTGATTATGTGTTGGGTGTCGCCCTAACTTGCTTGATTTCAGATTGAGCCTAATGAGCTTGTTGGCCAATCCCACAGACTCTCAGTGTCAATTTTTGCTTGGAAGGACGGGGGTGATTCCAGGCTGGCCCAGTGCACTCCTGGACAATCACAGAGAAGCCCGTGAGTGTGAAAACAGTAACGGGGTAGGTGGGGTTCTGACTGCCTCTCCATGCTGGTCTGGATCATGAGTTGCATGACCCAAGTGAGTCCAGGGAGTGTGAAGATCCCATTTGTCTTTTCTCCTTTGAGAACTATATGTTTGCTTCAATAGCCCCTTTATTGTTTGACAGTTTTCGATTTTGGTGTTTAATTTTAGTAGTTCTTTGTGTGTTTTAGATACGACTTTGATTTATTCCATTCTTATTTACAGTCCCTCTATATCTTTCTGTCATCTTATTAACCTAGCTAATATAACACTGTATTGAATAGAAATGGAGATAGTGGCATCCTTGTCTCATTCCATATTTTAGATGAAATTTTCTCAGTATTTCCACATTTGATGTAGACTTGGTGCTCTCATTTCATTCTGATGCTGTGAAAATAATCCTGACAGAAGACAGCCTAGAAAAGAAATAGTTTCTTTGGCTACTAATTCTAGATTATGGTTCATTATTGCTGTGTAGTCAGGGCAGGAACTTAGAACATCCACAGTCAAGAAGAGAGACTCAGCACATGTATCCCTGCTTGTGTGTTTGTGCTTCTGCTGAGCTGGCTTTCTTCATTCTTACAAAGTCCCCACCACAGGCCATGAGCGGTGCTTCCTACATTCAGTGGGAGCCTTCACAGCTCAGTCAACAACCAAGATATCAAATGGCTGCTGGGAGGGGGAGAGACAGTCTCTTATAGGGATGGGACTCAGTAGGTTCACCAGAGTCCAGTGGACAGACTCATGCTAAGTAACATGTGGGGACCCAAATCAGACTCTATCACATATATAGTGGAGTACATTGAATTGGCTGGGAGGAATTGTGGGGGAGGTGTGATGGCAGGAGCTAAATATCATCAAATTATATTGTATGAAAATTCAATAATTTTTTTTAAAACAAGGTAATCCACCACCACCATACCCACAGGCCAACTTGTTACAGATAATTCCTCACTGAAGTTTTCCTCCAGGTGACTCCAGGTTGTGTCAAGTTGATAATAAAAAGTAGCTAGAACAATCCACCCCTTGTCAAGTTGACTCACAAACACATATAACTTCCACACCTTTCTACCCAAAGTGTGATATTAATATCATAATGTAAAATATGTTCCCACTTTAAAAGTTCCATAGTCTTTAAAACTTCCAACACTTTAAAAATTCTAAAGTCACATTAAAAGTACAAAGTCTCACTGAGAGTGGTGGTTCGGGCCTTTAATTCCAAAGCAAAGAGGGAGCGGCTGGTGGATGTCTGTGAGATGGATGCCTGATGAATATAGCAAGTTCTAGGCCACCCGGGGATACAGGGAGATCCTGTCTTTAAAAAAAAAAAACCAAAAACAGTACAAAGTCTATTAGTTGTGAGCTCATGTAAAATAAAAAAGGAAGTTACATGCTTCCTTATGCCAAAAGGAATAGAATGAGGACATAGCAGCCCACAGTGGTGGGTCACCTCCACCACTGGTCTCTTGGCTTCACATCTCTGTACTGCTCCGCAGCCTCATTCACAATGCTTGAGTAAGTTCTTTCATTCTTGCTGGCATTGTTGTCCTTTGTCTTCATTTTAGCTCTTCTAATAGATATCTCTCAACGAGAAAAGATTGATTTGTGTTTTGAAGATTAAAGCCTACAGTTTCCAGAGTTTCCTTAACCTACATAATGTCTAAGTGGCAAGGCTTAGAGTAAGTCCTGCTATTCCATATCTAATACTGTCAATTTGTGTAAGACAGAAAATTATGTGATTTTCTTCAGATATCTCTAAAATTTACTGAACTTTTTAGACAATCAGAATTTTGTTTTACTGATTTCCTCTATGTATGTATTTTTGCCACTTGGGGTTCAGGGACCATTGTGGAAGAGGAGGCGGAAAGAGTGTAGGAGCCAGGGAAGGTAGAAGACCACAAGAAAAGTGTGGTTTCCAGGTTTCTAGGAACTAGCTCATATAAACTTGCAGCAATGATGACAGTGTAGAAAAGATCCATACAAACTCAAACTAGACAAAAACACAGTATAGAACAGGGGAGATGGGTAAGAAGTCCCAACCTTAGCTGAGGAACCATTGGCTGTTGATCACTGCTAATTAAGGAAGAGTTGGTCTCCTTTAAGGGAGTTTTGCTAGATAGGCTGATTAGGCTCCAGTGGACAAATTAACACCAAGAGACATCTGTGCACACAAACTTGACTTGTATGACAGAATGCATGAAATCTGGTAGAAGGTTATGGGGAGTCCAGATAGGGGAAGGGGTCTAAATATGATTAAGATTTATTAAATGAAATGCACAAATACTCAATAAAATATATATTGAAAAGAAAACCTTGCAAAATGTCTCCAAATTTAGATTTTTCCCATATAAAAATATCAATAATATGATAATTGTCACAGAATGTTATAAAAATATGTTCAAAAAAGTTCTTCTTTTGGACTATGTAACTGATAAATATAAAATACATTAGTTGTGATTGGGAAAAAATTAACACGGAGTTATGTAGCTTATGCTTCAGTGTCCCTTATGGAACAGTTCCAAGATCCTGGGAAGAGCCCAGTTGTGTGCTCACATGACCTTTAGTTTTATGTTGTTTTCAATAAGCAATATATTTGTAGGCTTTTTCTCTCCAACTTCCCCTTTTTACAATGTTAATTTGTCAGTTGACGATAAATTTGAATGAACATATTTTGAATCTGGCTGAGGTGAATGACTGAGTTGGACTGATTTTTGTGACCCAACAGTCTCTTCATTGAATATACAGATGTTGCTGCCAAGATTTCATACACTTGAGGCCTGCCCTGTGGCAGTTGGAGGTTGCATGGGCCTGCCCTGTGGAAATACCTGTGGGAGCTGGGGTGTGGTCCTTGCCACCTCTCTCACAGCAAGGACGGTGCTTCCAGGAGGTGGCTGTAAGCAAGGCAGATCACAGGGTTTAGGCAAAGGAGTAGGTAAGAAAGAAAATGGCCAAGGAGCCAAGATGGCAATGTTGGTGGATTTTGGCAAAACAGAACCCTGGTAAGATGTCTTATCACTGGTTCTCCATGTTCAGGGAAGATGTGAAACCTGTGGACACAAAAAAAAAACCAACCATAACCTGGACCATGGAAAAAAAAAAAAAAAACACAAAGAAAATAACACACAATCCAACTATCTTCTTGAGCAAATCTCAAAGCTGGTTTTCTCCAATATTGGCGTCCCACTAGTGAAATATTCAATCTTAAACACAGGTATAATCATGTGGACAGAATGACAGAGAGGGGGACATAGTAGCAACCAGCATAATTGAAATTGTGACCCCTCCCATGAGCCTGAAACTGTGTTTGCCTCCCATGAAGCTGAAATTGTGGTCCCCTCCCATGAATCTGGAGCTGTAGTTATGTGATTGAGCCTGGAACTGTGTGGTCTCCTCCCATCAGCCTGGAGCTGTTGTTGCCTCCTGCAAATTGCACCTTTGGACCTGAAGTTGTGGTCTCCTCCTGTGAACCTGGAGCTGTGGTCCCCTCCTGTGAGATGGAACTGTGGTCCCCTCCTGTGATCTGGATAATCTGTTTCAATAAAGTTGAATTTGGCATAAGCAAACTAGTTAGGGACTTATTTACTTATGTAATATGTCTTCACTTTAGTCCCAACATATAACTTATTCCAGGCATGACACCATCATGTTCTAGGTCCTGCCAACAGGAGGAAACTGCCATGATGAGTGCAAGAGGGGAGAAATCTTCGCCCATCACCTTCCCATTCTGCTGCCACAGTTAATATCCTCGTTCTTGGGAAGCATTTTTAGTGTTACATTACCAAATAAATGTACATATAGTGTGATCAATGAAAAGGAAGTTAGTGAAAACCTTAATAGGCATGATTCTGTAAGGCAGTTTTGTGCCAAAGGAAACAGATAAAGGAAAGAATCCACTTTAGATCGATCAGACAGCACTGTATGCCTGCGGCAAACAGGGGGAGTGGAAAGAACATCGGTGAGTTTGGGAGCAGGAGATTCTGTCTCACATGCTGGAAACTGGCTCCAAATACACAAATATGACCTTAAGTTGATGAACCAAACAAGCAAACAGTCGTCATGTAAGTATATGACATCTTTAAATTTTTTTTGCCAACATTGCTTTCTTTGACTAAAGTAGGTTTGTATAGGTTGGAGAATTTGGGAAGGAAGCAAGCAAATGCCCAGTCACAGTACAGCAACAATGATATAGTTCACGTTTTGTACAGGCCCGACAGTACAATTTTGTAGTAATAGTACTCAGAATTATAGCTGACACATAGAATTGCAAATTTACATTCCAAATTACACTCACATATTTTTTGTTTGAAATTGTGTCAGTTTAGTTATTACAGTACTTTCAGTTTTAGCTTCCCAGACTGTGATTTTTGTCTCTAGAAATTCAATTAGGTGTTTTACATTTGTTGAAGGGCACAGGTGAAGACACACTAGAGCTCTAGAACAGTAATAATGGAAAACCTCTTGGTGCCTGGGAATGGAAAAGGTCCAGCAACAAGGTTTGGATGTCCAGGACCACAGATAGAGTCAAGACCACAGCTGGTCCTCAGAGGGGTGGGAAGTTCATTCTAGAGAATCAGACTGCCCCGTCCCTAGCATAAGCCCTACACAGAGACAAAGCCACTGCCATGCACAACCTGGGATCTTGGAGGATAGCGCTGTCTGTGGAGAATGTAGTCACTCAAAGAAGACTGAAATTGCTGTCCAATACCAGGAAGATGTCCACGCCCCAGCCTGTGCCAGCATCAGCCTACCACCATACAAATATGGAACCATGGCTCTCAGCTGGGAGCCAAAGCTTCATGATCATGTGATTGACCACAACTTGAGCTCACAGGAGGGGGCCCTAGTTCCAGGTTCACAGGAAAGGACCACACCACAGCTCCAGTTCACAGAAAGAGGACACCACAACTCTGGCTCATGGGAGAAGAACTGGAACTCACTTTGTAGACCAGGCTGGGTGGGATCTCACAGAAATTAGCCTGCCTCTGCCTTCCGAGTGCTGTGATTAAAGTTTTGTGCCACCACATTTGGCTGTAAATTCAGACTTTATTCCTGGTAACACCAATCAGTTTTTCTTTAATCAAGGCACATTTTTATGATGTATAGAGCTTTAGTAATAACATGTTATACAGCTTCTGAATACTATGGTGTTTCTGGTACAGCTTTTAAAACATGTTGTAAAATTGTTTTCTTTACTCTAAAACCTTTTGTACCCATTTTGATAATTGATTTCAAAATTTACATTATTCTTTTTAAAAAAATATGCACAAGTTTCATAGCTTAGAAAGCATGAATCTCTGTGCATGATCATAATGCCTGGAAATTCAACATTGGAAGGGTAGAAGTGGGAAGTTCACTGAAATTGTGAATTTATTTCTCTATTTGGCCTGTAGAGGACACTGTTGTCTAAAGAGGAAATGACTTTTCTACAGAATAGAAGAAGCTCACAAAACCTTGCCTCTCACTGCTTCATAGGCGTCTGACCAAACAGAATTTAAACAGTGACTTTTCTTAATGGTGACTTCATGTCCCTTTCAAGAAGACATCAATATCCTCTTAATCTCAGAGCTACTTCTGCCCACCTCTCCCCATGTTCAGGTTTGATGTTTGCTGGAGATCTCCCAAGAAGCACTCTGACCTTCTGTACATCCTGAGACTCGAAGAGCCCCAATGTTCAGTGAGTACCATTCTCTATTAGCCCCATCCAGACACAGAACAGTGTGTGGTTTCACTCATAATAGAGAATCTCATGTTGACTGAGTTTTCCCACGCAGCACAGAGGTTGCAGATGATGCACGGCCCAAGCGGTGATCCATCCTAATGGCTTCATCACTGTCTGTAGCAGATGCTTCTTAGCTGAGGGTCTCTAAGTCTGTAGCAGATGCTTCTTAGCTGAGGGTCTCTAACTCTAGCCCAGGCCTCCAGCTCCCACTGAAGCAGACATCAGGAAACCAGCCTGTCTCGGCAACTAAAGGTTTGCAGATTGAGGAAGAAGGAAACTTGTCCCTGAGGGACTCTTCTGATCCAGGGACTGTGGCAACCATGTGCTCCTCTGCCAAGTCACACAGTGCAGAGCTGGACACGAATGACTTGAGATGTGCAGATTAAAGGGCCAGAATCCCAGTCTCTGTTATTTTCAAGGATTTGGCATGTTCTGTGAAGACAAACAGGACAGAGAAATTAGAGTCCTAAAATGTGCTTAGCTCCTATCGAGGCAGACATTAGTGGCAGCATGTTGTCTACTTTGCAGAGTGTGTGACTCCTAAAGGACAGCATTTGTATCTGAAATTCAAAGTTGCAATGAAATTTAGGCTATAGGAGTCTCTACAAACTGGAGGAAGCTACTTGTTCCATTTTCTTTTGAGACAGTGATAGATTGAGATGGAGTAATTTGGTTGAGTTATTTGGCGGCAAATCAAGGAATAGCTTTACATTAGTAATCTCATTTATCAAGCAATGATTATTATGGGGAACACTTCTAAAACGCATTCTTCTGATTTATAACCGCACAGTACATTGCTGATACCTTTAGTCACTCTCCTGGGCAGTAATGGACCAAAGTTTCTTGCTTCTATCTAAATGTAACAGGACTCCTTGATTAGTTTTGTTTTTTCCCCATGGCATTTCCTTCTCTGGGGATCTTTTTCCAGAATATTTACCACAAGCCTGGGTTACTGCAGAAGTGTCCTAATACACATATTTTATGTATTCTAAGAAAAGGAATCACTTATATGTATGTTACAGAATAATTATGTCCTGTTGCTTTGTTTACTGAAGTACCTTTCATTTAAATTAAGTCACGGGTCAGTAAAAATCCTGTAGTTGGAACATACAGCTATTTTCTGGGTTAAACATTTAGACACTTTCCTCTGATGCTCCCGAAGCTCTTGCTGGTCCAGTTGAGGCATGTTCTCCTCAGGAGGAGCAGATCTGCTTTCTCCTCACAGGTTTCTCAACTCCTTATGCGCCCAGGGTCATCAGAAAATGTTCCTGTTCCTCCACACAGACTGTCAGGCAGGTCTGGGCTGGGGAGGAGTTTCAGGCACAGGAAGCTGTAAGAACTCATCAGGGTCTGGATTGACAGGGTTTGTGGGTGGAGCTGACTGGTTTCAGGAGCAGGGACAGATCCAGAGCCATCCTGACACCACAGCCCAGGCTTTGGTTACACACATTTCCATCTCTCACAGTCAGACACGCATCATGAAGAGGCTGCTGGGCTCCCTGATGGGTCTTCTGTGCACCCAGGTTTGCTGTGAGTCGGGCTGCCCCACATTCAGGGCGTCTGTGAGGATTGTGCAGCTGCAGCACATGGAGGGGCATGAGGAAAAGCAGCTCCACGTCCTGCAAAACGTCGGTCCTTCTCACTGTATATAGGGGGCATTTTCAGGGCTCTTTGGGGGCTTCAGTGACTATCATCTGTGACTCTCTCTGTTCCTAAACAGGGGTGAAAGGACAACAACAAGTAGTACAGAGTCCTGGAGCCTTGAGTCTCCAGGAGGGAGACGATAGCAGCATGCGGTGCAACTTCTCCACCTCTTCATCCACTGTGCAGTGGTTTTACCAGAATGCCGAGGGCCGCCTCATCAGCCTGTTTTCCAATCCCTCGGGAACAAAGCAGAGTGGAAGACTAAAGTCCACGACAGACGCTAAGGAACGCCGCAGCTCCCTGCACATCTCCTCCTCCCAGACCACAGACTCCGGCACTTTTGTGTGGTGGACACACAGTGCTCCCCAGGCACCTGCAGTCTGAACACAAACTTCAGCTGGGTGGGTGTGGCCCTTCCTTGTCACAAGACGGCGGGAAGCTACCAGAGAAGCCTTGCACAGTTTATGTCTCTTTCCTGTGTTGATAGAGTTTTACCCTCAGATAATTTCTTTGGTCTCAGAGGTTCAGGTCTTTGGTCTTTTCTTCATCTCTCAGTGTGCACTCCCTCCTGAAACAGAAATGTCCAACTTGGCACTAGCCGAGAAGCTGATAGGAAGACTGAATCAACATCGCCATTTAAGCCACTGTGTGCTGAGCTCCAAAAGGAGGAGGAGCACATGAAGTCGCTCAGATAAAAGTGCTCAGAGTGATGCAGCTTGGTTGGTGTCTCAGGCACATGTCGATGCTCACCACTGCGGGTCTCCACAGGCAAGAGCCAACATGGTTTCCATCATGTTAGAACAGCACTGAAAACAGTTACGGAATATTTATGCATTATTAAACATTTTCATAAGTCTTAAAGTATATTTTCCACCCATCTAAGCGCCATTCATGTTTTGAAGTTTCTTGGGACTAGGACCTGATCTATCCTGACAGGTGTTCCCTGCATGACTGAGAAGAATATGTCCTTGGTTGATTGGATGTCTGGGAGTTCTCCTTGCTTTGTAGAGCTGTTAGAGTCAGTTTCCTTTCTGTTAACCCTTTATTATTGAAGATAATGAATGAAGTCTCCAATCATTCTTGTAAAACTACCTGTTTCTACCTGCAGTTCTGTCAGTTTTTGCTTTATATGTTTCTCACTCTTATTAAGCACATACAGGTATTTATGAGTATTACATTTTCCTTGTCGATAACCTCCCATTTCCTTTACTATGGATTAAGCCTGGGACTTCATGCAATGCTAAGAAAAGACTGTGCTGTTGAGCTATATCATTACCCCTAAGACAGATTCTATCTGAGAATTTTAAATAGCCCTCTTTTCTCTAGTAATTTTTAGTTCACAGTATTTTTTTCTTTTTTTTATAACTCATTTTTTAATTTATTGAATTTTTTGTATGTATTTCATACAGAACATCCAAAACAATCTTATTCATCCATATACCCACATCCCTAGTGATACCCTCCAATGTGCTGTCCCCCACCCCCGCTGGAGCCCATATACTCTGTCATCCCTGTTACTGTCCACTGTGCTGTCAGCGCACCCACCCATTCCCCAGTGCTTGTCCATCCACTCAATCTAGTCAGCCTACCTAGAGTTCCTTGTTTTAGGAATATCAGCTCTTCGTCATCTAGCAGCAAGCTGTGGAAAGGGGCTTGTGAGATGGCTCAGTGTGTAAAAATCCTCACTGCTCAAATCTGCTGACATGAGTTCATTCCCTGGATCCCACAAGGAACCCCACAAAGTTGTCTTACTCTTGTGTGAACACACACACACAGATTATAGTTTTGGAAATTTAAGATAGAAAATATGCAGTTTTTTTCTTTTCCTCTTCTTTTTATTACAAAAAGTAAAAAAGGTCTGGAAAAATCTTTAGTGTGACCCTTATGACATTTCATTAGATTTATTATTCAGAAATATTTATGAAGGTGTAAATCATTAGAAGTAACAGCATCCTACATACAGACAACAATGCCCACATCCCTTTGACATCCCCACGGTTCTCGACATTTCACTCAAGGCACCTGCGGCTGCTTTGTACAAGTTTGTGGACAAACCTCTGTTTGATTTGTGCTCTAGACCCTTGGAGTCATGGAGAAGCAATTGAAGGACTCATTCTCATCCCATACCCTTAAATATTCAAGAACAGCTATGATAATGAACTTCAGCTTTACACAAATATGCATGTATATACACAAGATGTTTTCATATATAAACATATATATGTACATGTATAAAATTTCTCCCCTCTAAGTTGTATTT